TAGGATTATGTCCTAAATAAAGTGTCTCCCTGCTATCAGTCCTTCGTCCTATGCTGATCTTTGAGGTTGGATTGGCATATGACAATATATAATTAATAAATTATAGAAGATTTTTTAGAAAAGTATTTTTTTTATTAATTATATCTTTTATTATATATTGCAATAATGATTTGAAGAGTATTAAGTCTGGGTTTTGTCAATTGTTATATATGTTTATAATTAGATAGATGATTATGTTTGAACATTTGACTTTTTGTAATGTCAGTTTCAACCTTTGAATCTTGATTGGATTGAAAGCTTTTACCATGTCTAGGCTTAATATTTATGCTTTTTTGTAATTTTGTTTTGTATTATCTTGTATCATTTTAAGTAAATGAATAGGTTTTTGTATATTGTATCCTGGTAGAACTATCCAGTTGTGTAAAAAAGGAAAATAATGAGTTTGTAGAATTTTTGTTATATTAATTTATTATTGCAATGTATTATGTTTTTGTATTTTTAATATTTTAAAATATTTTTTATTTCTTCTATTCTTTTTTTTAACTTAATTATTTTTATCAGAATATCATTAATACTTAATTTATTTTTATTTAGTATATATCAAAATCAAAATTTGGATACTATTTATTTGACAATTTTTACTAGACATAAAAAATATTACACATTATATCAACTTATAAGTATGAATTGTTATTATCTTAATCATAAAAATATTAAAACTTGGAAGTTAAAAAGACAACTAGACTACAGTATAATATATAAGATTTAGACTACATTCAAAAATATTTGAATCAAGTGACCTAAATTATAAAAACATCTTTGAAAATAATTTTTGGATAACAAATATTTGAATTGCCGTATATGCTTAGCTGTCTAAAATGCATCCCTACTTAGAAGCAATTGTTATTATTATATGAAATAATGTTACTTTTGATAAAATTTTATAAAATAGACCATAGAAACAAGGAGGTGTGACATATTGGTAAAAATATGAGCTTGATAATTTTTAATTTTAATAAGCATCACCCTTAATATCGTTCTATCCATTTGTAAAATACCTTAACTTGCTTCGAATAATAACACTAATCTTTTTACCTCGTAAAGACTAAGTATATTCAATTTCACACATTTATTTTGTATTGATAGCAGACACATTGCTTCGAGATTCAAAACTAATGACCTTACCTGTGTTAATATTGATTTAGTTGACAGAGATTATCTTAATACAATTTAAATTATGATGAGAGATCAAACACAAACAGTATTATTAATACTTTAAATATCGATGCAAAGTCAAAGACACAATGGATCAGGAATCATTAATTATAGAGAACGAAACACAGTAGTATTGTGTTCATTTCAGCTTTACAAGTTATACTTATCGAAAGTTTGATCTTTTTCGACGATGTGAAAATGGACGCATTCATAGTGAACGTTTATTACGTTCTTTAAATCATCGGTTTACTCCAAGTTTCAAGTTATTTATCCACTAATTCTTCTAGTATTCAGGAAAGTTAACATATTCGGTATCTATTGTCCCTGGGTCATAGAGTGCACGTGATATTATCAATACCTATTTGCTTGAATTTTTCGGATTCAATAACGAGGATTTTGCAAAAGTTTTAAAAAATAGACTTCCAGGAGACCTCAGAGTAATTTTCACAAAGAACGCTGGAAATAATATTGTGTTAAGAATAGAAAATCTTATTCACCGATAAAATCTATTTATTAAATTTATTATATGCAAAAAAACGTCAATACTAAGAAATTTTATTTTCATCTAATAACAAACTCTTCACCCAGTCGCCTCTAGGTACAAATTTGACATGATACTCCATTGGCCATATAGTCAACTCAACAGTAGCCTTACTGAGGTCAATCGGTACTGGCTTGTTATCTGTACCTAACGGGGAGGCGTTTTCAATCTCAAATGCCCAAAGAAGTCGAGAAAGGATAATAAACAATTCACATTCAGCCTACAAAAATAATGGAAATTACTTGTTTTATGGAAGATTCTATAAAAATTCAGCTAGTAAATGATGATAGTAAATCTGAATATTTACCAAATTAATTCCCACACAAATTCTTCTACCTCCTCCAAAACTAAAATGATCCCTCTTTTCTTGTGGCCCATTTGCTAAGGCTGCTGATGTCAAATTCACATCTAACCATCTCTTAGGATCAAACACGTAAGGATTCGGATGCCTTGTTGGATCGAAGGAAGTAGCATGATTATTGATAATTACAAATGAATCTTTGGGAATATGATATCCCATGTATTCATCATCTTGTTCAATATAATGCGGTACGGCAGCAAATGTGGGTGGACAATATCGTTGACCTTCACGTATGATAGATCTTGTGTATGGAAGAGTCGAAGAGTCAGAGTAATTCGGAAGGCGAGTGCGCCCAACAACTCTATCAAGTTCTTGATAGGCTTCAATCTGAATTTGTGGGTTATTTGCAAGAACGGCTATCAACCACACAATACTGCTTGAAACAGTATCCTTTTATAAATCATATTATTTTGATCAGTAAAATAATTAAAATAATTAATACGATAACTCATGGATTATAAACTTACAGTTCCAGCGAAAATAAGATTATTGGAAAGGTGAATAATATCGTGTTCGTCGAATTTCTCTTTTTCACGCCTTTCCCATAAATCTCTAACAAAACAAGGTTTCTTGTTTCGATCATTTTTAATTTCTTCGAGAACGTCACCGTAAATGGAATCAATTTCATCGCGAATGGCATAAGCCTCCTATTTATATTATTAACCATTCTTTTTTTAAGAATATATTTACGAAGAATTCAAATAATAACAAAACCTTTTAAATAATATCTAATTACCTTCTTTTGTCTGAGATATGGGCAATATTTTAAAATTGGAAAAAAATCCATTGACCTGTCAGTAATATTTACTAATTTTACACCCCTTGTTACCAATTTATCAATTCTATTGAACAAAGGATCATCAATTCCGCTGATTTCCTTTCCAAAAACAATCTTCATTGTGATATTCATCGTTGTTCGTCGAAGGTATGATCGTGGAAAAATTCCAAGTGGTTCTGGTTTTTTTGATGATTCCTGTGCTCTTTGTTGGATCTTAGATTCCTTATAGGAAACAGATAAAAGGTCTTTTAATAATTCCCGAGTGCACTTGTCAATGATAGGAAAAAAATATTTGATCTTTTGAACTGAAAGAAAATTGGCAACTTCAAGTGGAGAGAGTAATTATTAATATAACACGTAAAATTTTTTTACAAAAGGATTTGTTATTTGTAACTTTACCGATGGCCCGAAGTTTTCGAAAATGGTCATTATACGGGCTACTTCCAAGAGATTTTCCTCTTGAAAGAATTCTGAAAATTAACTCGGAGTCATGGCGAGATGAATAAATAGCCCCACCTATTAAAGAAGTAAAATAATGTAATGAATATATTATTATAACAAGGTATGCAATCGAAAAAGCTTACGTTTTTGTATTAATTCTCCAATAGCTTTATCGGAATTTAAAATCACCCAATTACTTTGACCCATCTTGATACTATAGATATCGCTACCCAATTCTTCTTTCCATCGAGTAAACCTAAATAATAAAGTATGTTTGTTACTATTATATTGTTGCTTAAATATTTTTAACGTTCTTACGTTTCGTGAGGCATTGTGCCGAGTCTTCCATAATGACCTGTCAAAAAGGTAATAAAATAAAACCTCGTTAGTTTATAAAGTAAAATAAAAAATTGGAATAAATGAATTCATGCAATTAAAAAATTACAAACCATAAAAAAATCTTGCACCAGGTGGTGTTGGAAGAGGTCTTAAGGATTTGTGCCCACTCCATAACTTCCTTCTTAAGAGAAAATAAACAGATAAGAGGAATATTGCCAAAATGGCACTGATCATTTTTCTTTAGATTAAATTCTTCTAAAGAATGGCATACGTACTTATATATCAAGACAAGCAATAGAAATTTTCCTATTATGATTACATAAATCCTCTTATTATTTTTTCCTTAACTTTAATATTCAATGTACTGTTGATTATCTGATGTACTGTACATAATTAATTATGATGGCCAAGAGTACCCGGGAACTAATTAGCTAATGTATGTTTTTCTAGTTGTGATATCAATCGTAGTGATTGCTACGTATTCCTCATTGTCCAATTTGACATACTTAAAGAAATCGGTTTGAAAATATATATATACATATATGTAATGTTATAGTCATCGAAGTTTATTGATTCATTATTAATGCAATAATAAATTATTGGTTCGGAGCATAGCGAAGGATAATATACTGTATTTCTATGCAGTTGATAAAAAATGCCGTCCGCTCACCCCTGTATTAAATTATTTAAACCGTCGGTCAATGCTCAAATAGATAATCCTATAAGCATCGATTGATTTTTGCCACAAATTATTTCTGAGAACCGAAAATTTTTTTTTGTAATTTTAATAAATAATATTAAAATATTATATTAGAAGACATTTAACTATTTCATAAAAACCGATAACATATCTTATAATAAATAAATTAAAGATCCGGTACATGCAAATATTGAAAAAAATAATCAACCGTTAAAAAAAGTTTGATAAAAAAAAAATTACATCTTGTACTGTATATTTATTATTATATCATAAAAAATCATTTGAATCAAATAAAATTTAAGATTAAAATAATTTAAATCAAATAAAATTTAAGATTAAAATAATTTAAATCAAATATAATTATAATAAAATTATTTATTAGATTTTAATATAAAAATTTTAAATCGATTTTTTTGTCATAAACTATATATCATTGTTGTTATTATTGTTATAAAAAATCTAATTGATCTTTATTATTTGTTATCTTATTATAAATTAATAAATAAATATTTTTTATTAATTTTTATTTTAGTTATAATATTTTAAAATAATATATAAATTAAAATAATAAAATTTTTTATAAGATTTAAAGAATTTTGAAAAAATATTGGAATAATATAAAAAAATTTATTTAATTATTTTTTTATATTAATTCTTTAACAAATATGTTTGCAAATGTTAAGCTTTTTTAAAATAATTTTTCTAAAGATATTTTATATATTTTTTTATAAAAAATAAAATATAATTTTAAATTTAAATAGACCTATGGGTCTATAGCACAGTGGTAATGCTCCATAGGTTACCAGGAGAAGGTCTAGGGTTCAACTTCATCTGGTTACAAAAATTTATTACCTTCATGATTAGTTGACCGGCTTCCAATTAATATCATACCCAATCGGTCAAAAATCTACTTCCAAATTTAGTTAGATTGCATGAAGATGGGACCTCTAGTCTTCCCGACGATTGCAGGCTAAAAACAGGTCGAAGCACGGAAGGTTGCACGAGAAAAGGCTTCTGGTCTAACTCTGGTAAAAGCCCACAAAACTTTAATTCAAACTGGCGATGGCAGACTCTGTCACACAACACAAAAGAGGCTAACTCTAAGCATAATCTATTCCAATCTGAAGCTTAAAGATCTATTCCATGAGTGGTATTCTTCTGAACTTAAATGAACTGAAAGGGCAAAGGTTATTCACCACAGAAGGTGACAATCCAGGCAAAAATCATTAAGACCAAGTGAGTCTGGTGAGGATTGACAAGATTAAATTAGAATTCAAGTAAGGATGCCAGTTCCACAGGTGGCAAAAATGGTAGTGCGATGCTATGCTAATGGCATATCCTGAGGATCAATAATAACAGCAACTGGAATACTGAAGTTCGTCTCTATAATAATATTCCATAAATAACTTGCTCTCTGCAATAATGGACCAGCAGATTGTAGGTGGGTTTAAA